ATAATAATGATAGTAGAAGAACTAGCTTCCGTTCTCCCTCACCCTACCGTAGAGACATTAACTACCTTGGTCATGACAGTACTTCATCTTCAGCCTCCCCAGTTCCTTCTAATAACAAGTGGGAACACTTCCTCGACAACCCTTCTATCCGTGTAGCTATGTCAGCCTATCTTTATGAAGAAGCCAAAAAGACTGATCTTCTCCCTACCTCTCACACTACCCCTGTTAAATGTAATATTCGTCTTAGAAACAGACCTTACCAAGCAATTATTGATAGCGGTGCTGCTATCAGTATGATTGCTCACCAGACCGTCAAAGAATTAGACCTTAAAATAGAGCAAGCTTCTACCAGTTTAATTGTTACAGCAACTGGTACTTCTACACGCCCTCTTGGAATTATTAGAAATCTTCCTGTAGAAATAGAAGGAGTTACCATCCCAATTACTGTAGAGGTTGTCCCAGCTACCTCTTATTCATTACTTCTTGGTAACGATTGGTCTAAGAAAGTTGGAGCCAGCTATAACTGGAATAATGGTTGTTATTCCTTTAAGTGGAAGAATAAAAGAATCTCAGTCCCAACTACCTATGAGAGTAGCCACCCCTTACCTGCTCAGCCTACCGTAACCGACCCTAAAGAACTTGAGCTATTTGAACAGGAATACCTCACACCACATGAAGCTTATACTGTTAATCTTCCAGAATCAGCTCCAGAAACAGACAACGAAGGATGGACTATTCACCAACCTCGTCGACGTACTACCTCTCGTCGAGTATGTGGTAATTGCAAATCCCCAGAGCATCTTTTTGCTAATTGCCCTTATAATACCTGTAACCGATGCCACCAGACAGGACATATAGCCATCCATTGTCAACTCCAAGCCCCTCGTAGAGAGACCTGTAGAAATTGTCAGAGTCCTGAGCATTTCTATCAGCAGTGTCCTCATAACACTTGTCATGAGTGTAATTCATTAAGACATATTGCAGTGGATTGTCCTTTAGCCTCTCTCAAGTATAAGAATCAGACTTTTCAATGTGGTTGCAACCTGAATAAAGTTGAGACCTAGCATCAATATTTTCACAGCAATAGACGTATCTATCATTGCTGCTCTTGTAAGAATCCTCAGAGATCTGAAGCCCTCAAAGAGTTAGAGCAAGCTCTTGCTTGTAGAGCCTGCTATACTGACTTTTACCAGAGCCTCGATCGAGATGATCCTAGAAGCCAATACTATTACACCCAAGGAGATGGACGTGGAACTCT